TGGCAGGTGTCACAAGATTTTTTCTCGAGAAATCCATGTTGAGCTGTATTGAGCAGGTTGTTTCCTGTCAAGTGACGCATCATCTTTTCTTTGATCAAGTGGTAGTTTCTACCGGAATAGGTCTAACGTTCTTATCACTGACGATGCGGGCCGTCTTTTCTTTGTATTCTGATCATAACACACTTTTAATCTCTTGGATTTGCATGGGGCTTATGTACCTTATCTCTCGTTCTCCCATAGCACGTGTTTAAGATCCAAAACATTATATTTGTTTGATATTTGATTTCCTTGTTTCGACAAAAATACATGTTTCAGGTTTGTCTATCTATACTGATCCTGTTATTACCATTATCATCCCTCTCACAAATCCCGTGAAGTTACTATAATAAAAGGATATTACCGGCCGAATTCTAGTTTGAGGAAGTCTGTTCCAGGTAGAATTCATCAGTTCGAGCGGTTCAGACGCGATTAAGACAAACTATAGTCCCTGCCAACACATGGCCCCGTTCACTTGGTATGGTCAGACGAGGCCGAACGCGGCCATGGCCATGCCTTTTTTACAGAAGTATCCGGAAATTCTCTCAGTGGTTTAAATGACCACTTTTACATGAAACATACTGTCTTTTTCTAAATAAATAACTTTTCAATTATATTGGAAATCCAATATAACTAAATAGAATGTCCGGTGGCCTTGCTAGGACGCGAACCCACCAGAGCAATGACAAGAATTGAGCACAGCCAACACTAGCCAACCGAACTACGAGGTCCCAGCTGAGAGCCTACAATTTTTAACATTTCAGCTAAGTTGCTCGTCCAACCTACCGCAAAAGCAGAAGGTTGACTAGCCAAACAGATTTCCTCGAGCGATCAAGCAACGAGATGATCATCAGGAAAGCCACTGAATTTTATTTGATTCCCCTGCGTCTCGGCTTCTGTCAGTAATGAAGATGTGGTAGTCGAACTAACATTTGCGTCCTCGTCAATGTTATACTTGAAGAAACCTTTGCGCCTTCATATATATTAATTCATATTCATATTTTTAATAATGGCATCTGTTATTTACACTTTGCAGTTTCTTAACTGCATCCGATGTAATTTATTTAAAGAATATTAGCCCAATCTGG